TGCAGGCGTAATCTTTTCCAAGCCTTACACGTGAAACTTTAATTTTCTTAAAACTGGGTGGCGCTGAGTTTCGAACTCGTGACCTCTTAGTCAACAAGGCTCTGATACCATGATAGAATTTGGGATGGAGTATGGACAACTGGATTATATAATAAGACACTTCGGTTGAACCATATTAAAAGATTGAATTCAATCGATTAGTTAGTTCAATTCAAGAGCTTATATACCGATTAATTTCCTCACACTTTTCCGATGTGGGATACTCTTTAACACTCCCCCTCAAGTGGACAACCGGGCCATTTTGAATCTAACCGGTTGACCACTTGCAAATGAACTCCCATTCTCTTGACTTTTTTTTGAGCGCCAACACCTAAAGGATCACGAGCCACTGGGTATGGACTTCCAGACGAACAATCGTGTTAAACGGGCCACAGACCGTTGGGTCAGTACATACTCCATCCTAAATTTTATCATGGTATCAGAGCAGGTTTTCAACCAAAAGCTCAAGTTTGTGGTTGTGGCCCAGGAATGATTGTTATATACTCTAACACCATGATTTTCAACTCCCTCGTGGTTTGATCGACGCTTGACTTAAGCCATGTTTTTGAAATTTTACTCTAAATGTTACTCGGTAGTTTTTTTCAGTCATAAGTCGTGCCATAAAGATGAATTACAAGCATCTAAATTTTCAATCATGTCTACCATAATGTAAGGCTCCGTTCTGTTCAATTTTTTTTATCTGATTTTTTAAAGATCTAATTTGATCTGATCTGATTAATTATGATTTGATATTCAAATCAATAATTTGATTTGACTTTATAATAACGTTTGAAAATTGTAATGATAATTCATATTATAGTATAATCAATATTTTCTTATTTTATGATTATTTTTTAATGAAATAAAATTAGTTAATTCATATATTAGAATAATCATTCATATTATAATGTAATAATATTTTTTATTTTATTATTATTTTCTTATTAAATAAGAATGTTGATTTAATATTTTAATAATTAGTTCATATATACATTAGAATAAATATTTAATTTATATATAATGTTTACCTCCAAACTTTTAAAAGTATATCATTAGTCCACACGTACTGTTAATAAACTGTCCATTTTCCGACGGAACTTTTAGAAATGCACCATTAGTCCTATATCTTCAAAATCGTGCATGATTGAAAGCTTAAGAATTTCTTTTGATTGAATAATGTCAATAATCAAACTTGAATAAAAAGAAAAAATAACTTGGAAGATAACACTGTTAAATTCTTGCTAGTCAACCTTTTCTCACACCTTATTCGACACGGTTGTGAGAGTTTGATATACACGCCACGGCATTGATGAGTTCTTTTTAGTTTTGATTAAATAACGTACTCAATAAAGATAAATTTTTGAAACCTTAATATGTACCGTTTCTTTAAAAAATCCTTAATGTGCATAATTTCTTGAAAGTGTTGAAAAGCATGTGGCGATAGCTTTTTACCGTCCGGCAGTATCATGCTACCGTCTGGCGGTAGCTTCCTACCGCTACCGCGTGCCTTGTTCGGAAATTGTATAGTACTTCGCCTTCAATCTTGGTTCAAACTTCAATTCTTAGATACCATTTTGAGTAACCAAACTTCATTTTCACTACATAAAAAATGTTCTCTAACATCCATAGACCATTTATAAGTAATTAATTTGAAGCTTTAACCACAATTTAAAGGTTTATGATTCTTGGTTTATCAAAAACATATTTTGAGCTATTCTACCACATAACTAAACCAAATGATTGTTTATAAACATAGAATCGATATATATGCACATTATAGTCACGAGATATATCTTAGGGCTCACCTCAAGCTCAAACAAAGAAAATGGTTATTGAAAAGCGAAACTTCCGGCAAAAACCACAGTTTCCTCTGGCAATTCAAATGATAGGGAGCTATGGCGGCTTACTCTCCATACTCTCAAGAACACAATGGAAGAAGAATTTTGAAGTTTGATGAAGAAATCAGAGGGTATCTTCTTATATAGTAAATGAGGTGGGGAAGAAGCCAAAGCAAAGTCGTGCACTGTTTCTGTGATCCAAAATCTCGTTGTGGGCTAGGGCGCGATTTTGATAGGATATTATGCTGATTTTGACGATTTCATCCCAATTGAAATCTCGGGATGTCCTTTTTGGTCTAACTTTCTCCAAATTGAAATCTGATTGCGTTGTTACAATCACACAGTCAAACTCTACACAATGGTATAATTTTACAAATTAATTGACAAGCTTTATTGATGGGATTAACCCGATCAGATGGCAGACCAAGAACGTAATATCAATCAGAAAGATCTAATCTCGTAATATATTCTTTAATTAAGTATGTAGTTGCTGGGGTCATCCCCTTACAATGGCGGGTTCTTTCCCCTTTTATAGCACTTCTAATTTCTCAATTAACATTACACATAATGGAAGAAATTAAGGAGATCATGGAGTTGTGATTCCTTCCTTTCCGGTCTCGTTCTCTTCCCTTCCCCCCCACAATCTGGTGGTATGGGCCACATGTCCTCTTTCTCTCTTGGACTAGATTATCCCCATTCAGCCCATGATTGGGCCGCCAGTCTTATCGCTCGCATCCGCCATAGGTGAGTTTGATTGATTACTCGCACCTGGACTTGTCCACTTCCCACAATTGTGGGCCTTTATCGGGCATGGAGTCGGGTCCATCAGACCCGATATCCATCACAAGCCCCCTAGTTTTCTGGCGACGTGTCACTAGAAAACTAATGACGAGCTACCTTCAGTTTTCGTGTCGGATTAGAAACGTTGCACTCGAGTGCCTTGGGTCCCTCCTTACAACAGATATAACCCCTTCTAGACTCATCTTCCTCCTTTCTTCATCGCTGGATCTTGACCTGACCCGAATTCCGACTGCAATTGCCCCCCAAATTCTCGTTTCCTTCTCCGAAATGGCCCCCTCCGCAGATCCCGCAACCTGGGCCCATGAATCCTCTATCATCAAAGAGGATGAACTTCGAGAAATGGCCGAATTTCTGGGCAGAGGCTTCCGGTTCCACCATCCTGATGTTGTCGGGGGAATCAGTCTATCTCATAATCCAAACCCCCAGAAGTATATGGTCATGCACTACCATTCTCTGGAGAACGGGTTCAGATTGCCCCTTCATGGTTTGGTTCGCGATATCTGCCGCCATTTTGGGTTCCCTCCGGGTCAATTAACTGCAAATGCGCACAAGTATGTCGCGTCCTACATCTTGCGTGTTAGAATAAAAGACCAACGCTAGAGGGGGGGGTGAATAGCGTTTGATCGTAGAAATAACAGGAATTAAAAACTTAAAAGAGAAGTAAAGAGAAGAGTAAGAGGCACACCGACTTTTACCCTGGTTCACCACAACTTGTGGCTAATCCAGCCTCCCGAGAGTTACAACTTGAGAGTTCGAGTTACACGAACCTCAACGAGTCCTTCAAAGGAAACAGCCCTTCCTTTGAATCTACCAAGAGAAATACTTTCTCTCAAAGTGTCTAAGAACACGAATACACTCAAGAACGAGGCTCTCTTATAGAGTAGATTATGAGTAAACTAAGTACGCTCAAGAACAACTCAACCTCCACACAAAATGGCTCTAGAAAGCTATGGAAAATGATGATATTTGAATGCAATGAAAGTATGAATGTTGTGAAGTTGAATTTGATGAGAAAAGCAGACCCAAACACCCCTTTTTATAGTTCCAAAATAGGCTCCAACGGACCAATGCATTAAAGGGGTAATTAGCTTGATTTATGGGATTGAAAAGATTTGGGATCTGCAGAATATTGGCTTCCCAGCGATGTATGGACCTTACCCATCGCTGGTAGGCCAATTTTCCTTCAGTTTTGAAGCCAACGGTCACTTACCCATCGATGGATACATGCTTCCCATCGCTGGGTGGGAGGTTGACTTCCAAACAAGAAAAGAATCAACCTTAAATGACATACAACGGTCATGCCTTCCCATCGATGGTTAAGCCTTCCCATCGCTGGGTTCCCATCGATGGGTAAAGCTTCCCATCGCTGGGTAAGGGCATTTTGCCTTGTGATAATGTTGGACCAAGGCTTTAACAGCGATGGGTAGAACCTCCCATCGCTGTTTGGCATGGTTCTGGAAGTTGGTTTGGCTAAGGGGCCGCTTACCCAGCGATGGGATAACCTATGGTTTTTGCCTTAACCACGGCCTAGCCAACCGATGCAAAAACCGACCGAAAAATCCAAAGTTCTCCAGAAATAAAAAAAAAGTGTTTAAAACACTTATTTGATGTATTTGGCTAAGAAATCAAGTGAGACACTTTAAAAATCACGTCATTTGAGTAAAAACCACGTCTAGCCAAGTTTACGCCGTTTTGCGTGGTTTTTGTCAAACGACTAAAAGCGAGAGATGGTTTTCAAAGTGTTTTAGTTGGAGAACCGTTTAAACATGCCAAAGAGTGAAAGAAGATCATAAAATGCTGAAAACCACTTGGTTGGTTCGGATGCCAAAAAACCAAACCTGACAACCGAAAGCCGAACGCTGGTTTCTGAAAGCCGAACACTGGATGGCTTGGTTTTTGGTTTGGGCGACCACCAAGTGTTTTTAATGACTTAAACAAGTTTGAAAAACATTTTTATGATGTAAGAAATGCAATGAGAGATTTTAGCCTAAATACCCAAGGTGTAAAGATTGGGTCGGTCTTGATCACAATAAAGACCGACTCAATACTATGACTAAGGTCTTCGTTCTTGGTCTTCGTTTAGCTCTTGCTCTTATCTTCGTTCTTCGCCTTGTATATTCAATGTTCGACTTGATCACGACGGTTTGGCATTATCAAAACCTGTTATAAAAACGAACACGGCTTTAGTACGAAAACGTGACAAGCCCGTGTTTCAACAATTTCCCCCTTTTTGATAATGGCAAACGAGATGAGGTTATGCATAGGAGGATTATTTTAAAAAAATGTTCCCCCTTAATAGATGCCATTTTACCAGGTAAAAAAAAATTCCCCCTCAATTTATGCATAACCTTAATATCTTCCCCTTTTGACATTAACAAAAAGAGTTAAAAGTGAACTTTAGAGTTTAAAAGTAAATTTTTATTCATTTAAAAAGGAAAATGGGGAATGCAACGGAATGGAAATAAAAAATACAATCATAGTAAGGAGAGAAGAGAAAAGAAGAGTCTAGGCATCGGCGCCCTCGTCCTCGTCGGCATCCTCGTCGTCCTCGACGTCCATGGGATCCCCGTCGACCGCGTCCTCAAAGTCGGCTTCGTCGGGGGAGGAGGACGGAGCATAGGAGTTATCCTCCTCGTCCTCGCCTTCATAGTTTTCGCCGAGGAAGGTGCTATCAAAGGGCGGCGGGATGTAGTTGATGCCGCGGAAGAACACCGTTATGTCGTGGTGTTGGCGTTGCAACGTCCAGTCCATCCGCTCAATTGACTGCCCCATGCCATCCACTGTGAGGGTTAGCCGATTCAGAGTATCGGCTATGGATTGCAAAGAGGCCTTGGAGGGAGCGGGGGCTGGTGCACGACTTGGGCCTGCGCCGTCCCTGTCTCCAGACTTCTTCCGGAAGGTGTTGTCTTGAATGATCCAAATCTTCATCATCTTCGTATCCGGGCCGGCGATGGAGATGTCGGCGGAGATGATGAGGTCCATGACGAGGAAGGCGTATGGCAAGCTCTGCTCCGTGGCGATGGAGGCGCAATCCGCCATGTGGATCATCACGAATTTCGCCCAATTGATGGAGGCGCCGTGGATGATGGCGTGAATCGCCTTCAAGTCCTCGTTGAAGAGCGAGGTATGGCTGCTGTCCCGGGGGCGGAGAATCTGGGTGATGATGTAGAGGAGGAGGCGCTTGTCCGGTGGGGCCGAGTGGATCGTCGGCGCGCCGCTGTGGCGGATCAAGTTGGTGATCCCAAGCTCATGAATGACGACTGCCTCGTTGTTTAGGATCCAATCGTCGCCACCATAAGTCGCGATGTCGTCACCGCGGATGGGCAGCCCTGCGACCCGAGCAAAGGTAGGTAAATCAATCTCTATGTCGTAGAGATTGATGATGCTGCGAATGGTGTCACCGTCACGGCGGAGATTGAAGTAGAAGGCCCGGACGAAGGCGGGATTGAAGCTCGAGCGGCTCCTGGAGACGAAAGACCACAAACCCGACGCTTGAAGCTGATTGTCGAGGTCGTGGTACCCCTTTTGTTGAGGGTACAACTCGGGCAGCACCCTAGGCGGAGAAATGGGCTGCTTGGCAAAGTGCGTGAGGAACCGGTTGAGTTCGTCCTCCGACCCGAACTCAAGAAACGAGCCGTCCAGGTAGGGGGCGCTGAGGTCGTAGCTTCGGTGTTGCCCTTCTTCTTGGAAACCTTTGTCCTCTTTCCTCCGACCATGATTGAAGCAAAAAGATGAAGAATTATGTAAAAGAGGAAATTTTGATGTGAAAAATGTGTGCTAAAATGAGTAGAGATGAAGGATATATATAGGAAAGGGTGAGAAATTCGTTTGAATTTGAAAAAAGTGACTGTTGGGCAATAAATTCGGTGACCAACGGTTAAAAAATTTGAATTTGCAGCAGGCTTCCCAGCGATGGGTGGAACGGAAGGTCGACACTAGAAAGCGAAGGAGAAAACAAAGGCTGCCTTCCCAGCGATGGTAAAACTCACCCATCGATGGGAAGGTGGCTACTGGAAATCCGATAAAACGCTTTAAAAAAAGTGTCAAACACCCAGCGATGGGAGAAAGTTCCCATCGATGGGTAGGGAGGTTCTGGAAAAAAATTTTGAAACTAAAAACATTCACCCAGCGATGGGATGAAATACCCATCGATGGGTAACGTGTTTCTGGAAATCCGTTAAAAGTTTTAAAAAAATAGAGTCAATTACACATCGATGGGAAGAAGCACCCATCGATGGGAAGAGGGGTCCTGGAAAGATGAGGACTTCCCTCCGAGCGATGGTATAACGCACCCATCGCTGGTTCCCCCTGATTTCCAGAAATCTTCACCTCGAACCGTCCCTGCAAAAAAGAGTTAGAAAACCCTCCGACGCTCAAGTTAGTAAACGTTCAAGCACAGAAAAAGGAGTGATAAAATGCACAAATTAGATCATCGTGGAGTCAAGGATTCCGAGTTCACTACGAATGCGGAAGAACGACTCTTTCTCTAAAGGTTTTGTGAAAATGTCGGCTAATTGGTTGTGTGTTTCAACAAACTCAATTTCGACATCACCTTTGAGAACATGATCTCTAATGAAATGGTGCCTAATGTCAATGTGTTTCGTCCTTGAATGAAGAACGGGGTTCTTCGTCAAGCTTATGGCGCTAGTATTATCACAACGTAGTGGAACGTGACTGATACTAAGGCCATAATCCACGAGTTGTTGCTTCATCCAAAGGATTTGAGCACAACAACTACCGGCGGCAACATATTCCGTTTCGGTTGTGGATAACGCAACACTGACTTGTTTCTTACTAAACCATGAAACTAAAGAGCTACCAAGTAAGTGGAAAGTCCCACTTGTACTTTTACGGTCCAATTTGCAACCGGCAAAGTCCGAGTCGGAATAAC